GGTCTTAATAGAAACGTTCCACCAAAGGTTCCCGAGGAAACCTCAGCCTGTAGCAAGGTTCAGGAGGGAGTACTTCGGCACCACCGACGAGGAGGAGGAACTGGAAGGATTCATGGAATCGGAGCTGGAAGAAGGAATTGACTCCGATGACGAGGAGTACTTGGGGACCAGGAACAGCAGCCGGTGGAGGGAAGTGTTTGAGACTTCGGAAGATGAGGGAGGTTCTTTCAGGGGCTTTGCTTCCTCACCGCCCATAGAGGAGGGGACGGGAGGGGGTGAAGGGGGCCCTGGAGGGGAGGTGGATGTCAGGGAACTGCCATCGGAAGGACAGGAGGTGGAAGGGCTCCCTGAGGTTGAGACAGACTTAACAGCTGAAGAGGGAACCAGCAGGGGGAGAGGAGGGGCTCCAGGGGAAAGTGAGTCGGAGGGATGGCTCAGAGACACTTCCAGCGAAAACAGTGGGGAGGTTTCAAGACCTCCTATAGGGACACCCACTCCTCGCCGGAAACTGTCACGCCGAGAGTCCAGAAGACGTGTTTCCGTTAAGGAGCTTTTATGCTGGAAGAGATTCCGTAAGAGACCACTTTCGGATTCTGCTAGCGACTGACGGAGCCATGCTGGAGGGGCTCCGTCGTAGGCAGAGGTTTGAGGACTTGACCAAACTCTGAGGGACTTGCATTTTACGCACAAGCAGCTCATCATCCCATTACAATACCCTAGTTTTTGGTAGTACTGGTAACCCCAAATTTATAATCTCTGTAAAATTATATGTGTTGGACTATATTCTAGTGGCTGATCTGAAATTGTAACAAAAAAAAAACACCGATTGATTGAACTATATCAGATCCTCCATTGCCCATGAAACACTGGGCAACCCCTCAGTGTTTCAGTGGCAGCAGAACATCTCTGTCTGTGGAGCTTTCTGTGGGTGACCTGCGGCAGTGTAAGGGCTGGTTTGCTGGCGGGCTTCTCTCCCCACCGGCAGAACAGCACCTACATCACTTTAAGTGACCTCTTAGCCAGCTTTGTCTGCCTTTGGGTGTTCTCCATGAAGCATCTTAGAAATACCGTAGATGGGGCTATAGTGTGCTGAAACAACACCAGACCAAGTTAAGTGTCTATATAGGGATACTTTAATGTTATCAAAACAAAACAATACTCATTATCAAAGATGTACTAAAATTAGTGCCCCATTGCAAATGGAATACTCCATTTTTGCATAATTGGTTATTTTTGTGTGTGCCAATAACAAGCTTTCAGGTCTAAGTAGTACCCGTCTTAGAATGGATTCATTAGCCTTTTTTCTTTATTTTTACCTTTTTATGCCGACTGATCTGTTGTGCTGTATAAATGATGGCTTTGCATTTTCTCTTTGGGCTGCATCCAGTTCCCCTCTGGGGATCCTGCTCAGAAGCCATGCACCTGCTGTAAACTGGACAGAGGGTGAATATTGTGCAATGCGGTTATCATATATTTTCTTGGTAATCCTCACAAGACGACCTGTATAAAATAGACCAGTGTCCCACACTGGAATGACCTCCCCTTACAGATATGACAGGAACCTACAGCGCAGATGTTCTGCTGCTGGTAAAAACTTTTCATTTGATGTGGGCGTTCCTGGACTCTAATCCTTAGTACCAGCTTTACTGAACTCTAGATAGTTTGCTTTATGTTTTATTGTACTATATTTGTAAACAACCTTGTCATTTTTTTATCCTGAAAAGTTGTCAGTAATTTTTAAAGAAATAAATATTCCATTATTGCCATTGAAAAGGAGGGCAGGCTGAGGTGAAGAGTTAAAGGCTCGTCTAAGTCACCCCAGTGACTTCATAGCTGAGATTTATAATGAATACTGATGTTCTTACCAGTATATAATTCCTGGTATAGTTTGTATGTTTTTCATTCCTTTAAGTAAGTTTGAATTGTATATTTCAACATAATTACCATAATTGTTGTTTTCAGAATAGATTTGATAAAGGTCATTTAGCTTGTCCTTCAAAACTAGGAATTTGCTTTTATTCTTTTTTGTTCCACTGAAGGGATTAATAATGGTGTTCAGACACATTGAATATAATTTATTTGAGGTTGGTTATTTGCTCTACCCCGGAGGCCTAGTGCAGGTTAAAAATATATATAACCAGATTACACAAAACGAAAAGTGCTTGATTACTACCATGATAAAATAAACCCCCTAACTGAATACAAAAATCATGTTTTGTTTTGTCTTGAAACCAGTTAACAATTCGAATTAACCCGGTGCACCAAAGGCCACCCCGAACTAGAGAGTGCTTCTATATGATTAGGTTCTGACTAGCAGACATCTCAGGAGTGAGAATCTTATAATTGTATGACTTCTACTGAGAAGGTCTATCTAAAGGTCCCTGTTGGTCACAGTAGGAGCAATAGTGAAATAGAAGAACATTCTTGGTTATTTTACAATATAAGCTTAGGAACTGGTTATTGGAAGGAGTACATTCCCCAGTATCAGTAGGGGGCAGCCTAGATCTGACTGTCTTCTGATTTTGGGGTCTTGCAAAGTGCTTTGCAAGACCCTTGTGACATCTTTATGACATTAGGTGATTGATATTAGGTGATTGACAGGTGGGTGGCCCTACCCTGCTCTGTATTGTCCTGCCAAGCCTTTGAAATGAGCTAGGTTGGTCCTTCTGACAGTACCACCGTAAAAATGAAATTAGAGGCTTCTCTGCACTGGTTCCATCAGTTAAGGAATGTCCCTCTCTCCAAGATTGAGCTGATGCCATTCATTTTCAGCGCCAGCTGAATTGCTTTCTCTTCCATCATGCCTTCTAAATATCTCTGTGTAGTCACACAGTTACAGAGAGTAGGTCTAGGCAACCATATGGGTTTACATTGATGATTTTAATAGTATTTTAGTGCTTTATCATATTGTAACTTTTTTGTAACTCACCCTGAGATAAGTTGTGATGAAGGGCAGGAGATAAATAAATGAATAAGTTCACACCAGGCTTTAGGAGTGAGAGTAGCTCATTTGGTAGAGCATGAGACTCTTAATCTCAGGATTGTGAGTTTGAGCTCCATGTTGGGCAAAATATTCCTGCGTTGCAGGGAATTGAACTAGATGACCCTCATGGTCCCTTCCAATGCTACAGTTCTTTGAATCTGTGGTCACCTAGATTCATTAAATCAGCCAGGCCTCTGCCCTTTAGGGCTTTTAAAGTCATGAACAACAGTGTGAATTCTACATGGTAAGGTAACAGGAAGCCATTGCTTCCCTCAAGCCATTCCTCATAGAAAGTGCAGTAACAGGAGTATCAGATATTTTAAAAACATATTTATAATACATACTATTATTTTTGTAGTAAGCTGTTCTAGTATGAGTAACCAAGCTCTGAACACTATATTCTTACCAAAATACTATTAACAGATGCTTTAATAAATCCATATTAATTCAACTGAGACCTAGTAATCTTCTTCTTTGCTCTTGAACCACTAATGTTTCATTCATTTATTTAAACTATCAACATATTTCCATTGTATATGCTTTATTTGATCTTCCTAGAATGAATAATAATCTAAATCAACATAATGTGCATTTTAAAGCTGACTTAAGCTGTGAACAGTGGGGTGCAAATGGAAGCCTGAAGCAAAGTAGAATGCTTTGTGGAAGAATTTAATAAGTTTTTATAGTAAAAATGTCTATTATCAATGGATATGCATGTGTGTGCGTGTGCAAGGGAGTGAGATGGCTACACACACTTTTGATCACATGTACTGCTGGTATGCAGCTTCCAGGGGGTTGGTCAAGGTTAACTGCAGCCCTCAGGCCCAGAAAGGTTAGCCATTCTTGCTCTATATTTTTTATATAAAAATATAAATACACGCCACACCTATGCTTTCACTAGGCTAGCACACATTATAGTTGTAGGGCAGCCCATTTGTTTTAACATTTTAAATGTGCAAATGCTTATACAATACTGTTGTGCCATTATTTCTGTTCTATTTGCTACCTTGCCTTGATGAGAAGACACTCAACACAATTTTAAATAGGCAAATAGGATTTGCAAGCAGATGCAGATAGATAGTCATGGAAAGTACCAGGTACAGGTTCAAAAATTCTGTTTTGCTTATTTTATGTTGCACATTACGTTCCTCTTTTGCATCCTGGTCTTGCTGTAACGGCGCCAGTTGTGGCTGGGAACATGTAATCTGATGTGTATTTAATATACTTTTTTGTACCTTCCTGCACCTAGCTTGAGGCTTCACACCCAGCTCCTATGTCCCCAGCAAAACCACCAACAACTTTGGTTGGAGCTGGGCATAAGGAAGGTTTGGGATTATTTGTTTACATTAGTGGAACAGCAATATCTGAGTAACTGCATCATTTTTTGCATGCAGTTGCAGCATCTTTAACAGAAAGAGCATAATTTTGTCAAATCAGTGCCTTAATCCATTAAATCATACATTTCACGCAGAAATTAACCAGCGGTCTCACTTAAGTGGCAGAATGTGCTTTATTTGGAGAGAGAGGTCAGGCCAGGATTCAAAGAACCGTTAAACTAGTACCATGAACCCAAGGGACCTTTAGAGTGCTTTCTTTTGAAGACCAGCCATCTAAGCCACATGGAAAACTGTTTAATCTGGGAATGAGGGACTTTCAAATGCAGCTTATGATGTGCCATGGGTGGTGGTGATGGAGTTCAGCTGTTCGAAGAAAGAAGTCACAAATATTGTTGAGTTTGTACCAAGCCCTTCCATGAGCATAAAGCAGCTCTCTGTATTCAGATTATTATTTTATGTGTAATGTTAGGCATCTTAAATAAAGTAGCAAGGTTTAAAAGAAAGAAACAGCTGCAGACATGTTTTCCCAGTATAGATTGCCTATAAATATGATGTGGATTAAGGCTTCTGCCAATGGGCTACAAATCACTCACATTAATGTCTGGTGTGCTCTTTTCTATAATGAAATAAGTAAATGAAAATGTGTATAGCTTCTAGTTAAGTTTATTTATTTTTTTTAGCTATGGTAAACATTTGAACCTGCTGAGAGAGAATGCCGAAGATGATCTATGCCATGTAATAATGCACTGTGAAAATTTTTTGAAACGACAACAGGCAGTTCTAAGGACATCGTTGCGTATCCTTTCTCATAATATAAACGTCACCAAGTCTTTTGTCGGTATAACTGTCAAAATAATTTTTAAGATGCCTTCTTGTATTATTTAAGATGGCACAAAGATTTGTGCCATATAGACAGGAACTTCATAACATTTTCCTTTCTCAACAGGCATATTTTCCAGAGCAGATGCTCTCCCATCTAAGTTTCTATTTCTGCCCAGAGTTTTTTTAAAATCTACAGTGGTTTCCCCCACATACTCCAGTGTAGAAAGCAGATCCACAGACATCCCACAGTTATAGATTTGCATTCACAATTGCAATGAAAGGGGTGTACTTTGTACATGATGCATGTGAATACCCTTAAGTCTCTGGATTTGGTATCTAGGACTGATCCTTTTCTAATAACGGTCTACTAATAGATGTGTTTTTGATGGCAGGGTTTTTCTGCATTTAACAACAAACCCTTGGATTTCCTGAACGTTTTCCTACAGGTGGTTTGCAGGGAGGATACGTCGGCTTTGATTGGTTTGCATCTTCTGTATTTCTAATAATGATGGGAGACAGGGAAAAAACATTAAATTTTCTCCACCAGTTCTCCCGTCTTCTTGTGTCAGCATTCCTTTGGATACCACGGCTGCACAGTTCTGTAAGACTTCAAAAAAGGTTTCATCTTGACAAGATTGCTCTGAACATTTTAAATGAAATTTAATATTTCCAAAGTTGTTTATAAACAGAACACAATGCAGTTACTTAAAGGTTTTTTTAACCAAATGTTTGCCCTGCAAAATTTCTCTCAGAAAAATATGGATTTGACATCTGCTCAAATGGTTGTCTGGAACCAGGGAAAAAACAGGTAGACAGATAGCAGTGGTGGTGTTATTGAATTTTAAAGTGAGCCATAAAATTCACTTTATTAGTAGTGTTAAATTCTGTATGTAGGCAGATAGAACTATTGAATGGCCTTTTTATTATTATTGCTATGTGCAAGCTCATGCTTTAGATTATTAGCTTTTGTTTTATTATAAAATCATTAAATGATACAAAGTAGCAATTTTGGATAAGGGAAAAAAAAGTAAGCCAGCTTGCATTGTCACTGCTAGTCAGAGCCTCACTATTTTAGCATCTCAGATATTTATACAAGTTTCCTTTAACATAAATAATCACAGAATTAAATGAAAACTTGTATGTTTAATTTTTTACTCTCCTACTAACATAAACTTCCACATACTAGAAAACTGAGCAAACAGGGCAAGTGTGGCTCCCCATTTGAGACATGTCAGCATCCCAAAATAATAAAGCCATATGACAAGAGGGACTAAGATTTGAAAAAGAGTTTAAGAAATAGTGTAGGGCATGGTCAAGAAGTGCTACTCATGAACATTATGGACATGTGGCAATTCCAAATCATATTCTGGAACTTCCTCGATGCTTGCACAGTTGATGCCCGTTTGTTTCTAAGGCCATTAGAGGTCAAAGCAATGGTTAACATCTAGTAGGGAAGCCACAAGCCAAATCATATTGTTAACACTGGTAACAAAGCACTCAAATCAGCAGTTAAATGTCATAAACGCAGTTTAAGGCAAGCAGGCTGTCATTCGATTCATGGAGTTTCTGGCAAGAACAGGCTTTCCTGTACACTACTTTTTAGAGATAGTAAACCTCTCCTTGCAAAAGGTAGGTCAGCAGAAAGACCCCAAGCAGTCCACTTGGAACCGAAATGCTTCTATTAGGCACCAAGGAATTCTGTGCATGCCAGGATTCCTTGAAGAGCCACAGCTCTTTCTAGTGTGCTTCTCTTGGTTTCCGTGAAGCAGTCCAGCATTAGAGGTGTGCTACAACACCTTCGACAACACTCCAAGGGATCCTGAAACACACATTTTGGAATGCGCAATGCAGCTGCTTGAAGACAGCCAAATGTCTGGCCCTGACAAGGACTGTGACTTGGATCCTAAGGTGTTTCTCCATTCATTTAAGAGGGACATGCAGTTTTTGCCAGTTCCACCATCCATCTGCAGCTCCCATCACTTATGTCCCATATTCCCGGGGGGGGGGCAGCCTTCAGGACCAGATTATCAGGGGGCTGTGGAGGGAAGGGGGGAGCAGGTAGTCCTTTCTTCCCATTGCTCCCAAACAATGGTAAATGTTACTGGCTACTTTGCCGTATTTTTTTTTCTAGTTGTGTTGGGAGCAAATAAACTTTCTACAGCTAGACATAAATTAGGAAAAGCGATCACTGTTCTATTCTGCATGTGGATAATGAATGGGCAGAGGGAAGGTGACATCTTTTTTTGAAGGGAGACCTTTCAAAAGCTGTATAATAAGGATCCTTTTGGGTATTGTTGCTTCATTGACCAGATTCACCTGCCCGTTGACACAGCAGCGTCTGGGATCCATCCAATCTATTTTTGCAGTGCACACTATGTTGAGATGTTGCTGAAGGCTGAGTTACCCCTAGTCTTTTCTGCGTTCCATATGTCTGGTTTTACGTCGTCACAGGTAATAAAAATATTCCAATTTGTTTTTTTTAAAAATGGTTGCCTTGACTGTCAGTGAAAGGGAGACTGCAAAACTGGAGCCAAAGCACTTTCCTCTTCTATAGTGCAGCCCCTTATGTGTTTACTCAGAAGTAAGTCTCATTAAGTTAAATGAGGCTTACAGGGAAATTAAGACAAGATTCCAGCAGGTTAGGACTTCCACTAAATCATTTCATGTTGAAGCAACTCTGAAAAGAAATTCACAGGAAGGAAGATTTTTCTTCTTCTCTTAAAAAGCATAGTGGTAAAAAGAATAGCTTTGTCAGACCCTTAAATGCACAGCAGTGGGCAGAGTTAACTATAAATTATATTTACTGCTAATGAATAGTCAGCTGGGAATTGTAGAAAGAGAGAGCTTTTTGAAATTGAATTGCTTTTGTCTGGTAGTTCTTCATAACCATACTTGAAATCAAGTTATACAGGTGAGACCAAAAAAAATGAATTATTGCTACTGCAATAAAAAACAGTTTGTTTTGCTGATATGTACTATTTATTGTACAGTTTCTACAATAAGGCTGAAAGTATTTGAATGCTTAGGAATAACGATGAGACTTGCCTCTGAATGAAAATACATAGAATTGGGCAGTGTATTAGATGCCAGCTCTTACACCATAATTTTAAGTGAAAAGAGCAAAAGTAATTTTGCTGTCTAAACACTAATTGGGATAGATTCAGAGTTTGTTCCTGCTGGATCCCCTAAGCAGAATTCTGCTCAGGACACTCCCATGAAAGAGGAGGAGTGATTTTTCCATTCCTCAAAATCCCCAGTGCTACCTTCCAAGGGATCCTTAATCCTCTAGGTAAGTTTTTCTGGAGTCATAGAGTGTAGGGGGGACTCAGCAAAAAATGGTTTTCTCTGTTGGATTAGAAGCTGTCCACAAAAAGAAAAAGTCTGGTTCCAGTCCATTGTCACTGTTGGATTACAAATGAAGCAAGTTAAAATCTGTTTTAAACCTTATCTTTTGCAATCAAATTAGTACTTTTGCCTGATTTACTTTTGTAAATATTTACAGGCTGATTAACACAAGATTCATAAGTTCACAGCTAAATGAAATTGTCGTGGTAGAGATCAACAAAAAGAACAGTTATTCTAATTTTGTTTTTCATAATCAGTTTAATAACAGAATGTCAGATTTATTAAAAAGTTGGAGAGCTCCTCTTCTGCTAAATACAAACACATTAAACAAAACCAAAGTACTACTGTTTGTGACATTCTTCACTAGTAAACTCTTTCACGTAGCAATTTTTCTTCTGGGTTTTTAATGATGCTACACTAAGGTGGAAACTTGTTTATGCCCATGATGGCCAGAAAGAAGATGCAGTGCAAATGACCAATTGGGAGATGATGATATGACACACCTCCCTCATTCCTTTCTAGTTTAAATTCTTTGAGAAAAGATGCCTCCCCCTAGCCTAGGGGACGTGGTCTAGAGCTTTAGTTGCTTTTACAAATGGAAGTGCTGCCTTCCCAGACAAGCCCTTACTAGTGGCAGTGATTCAGGTTTTCAGTGAGCTCTGGGAACCTCCAGGGAAAAACATTTCACTTCCAGTGGCGAAACAGGGTGTGCTGCCCCCCCCCATGACTAAGAGCGGGGAGTGGGGAGTGGATTTCTGTTGTAAATTATGGTAGCTGACAATTGCAAGGGACCTCAGAATGGAGTATACAGAGCTGGATGCATTATGTGGAACAGTTGCTGTTGGAAGTGATGAATTGGATTATTGTTTTTTTCCTAGATCTGTCAACAATGGTTGACTCAGTGTTTCTGGAATTACTTGGACTGGAGCGAGATCTGCCATTACATTGCCATTTGTATTTTTCTTGGCCCAGATTATCAGATTTATATGTGTATATCTGTATTCAAGCATCTACAGCAAGAAATTCTTCAGCATACGCAAACTCAGGATCTCCAAGTTTTTCTTAAAGTAATTTCTTCTTTATCTTCATGACTTAGAATAATAGAACAGTGTTGAAGATTTGATGTCAAGTTTTTAGAAAAACTTAACAAATCATTCTTTGAATATGTGTTTGTTTTCAGTCTGTTTTCTTACTTCGTAGCTTTACTTAGTGACAAAGGAAAATATCCTTTCTGTAATCCTTTAAAGAAAACAAATGCATATGCCAAATGTATATGAAATAGATTCTTCCTTGTTTGTTCACTGGGAATTGGTGATGAGCCTGATCTTGATATGTCATTCTCTTTTACAGAATGCCATATCCTTGATGGACTTTGAGCAAAATACTTTGCTTGTGATATTTCCAGGGAGATTTGGCTGAACCCTGTTGGAACAGAATGCTGGACTAGATTGATTTTTTTTATCTGATCCAGCAGGGCTGTTCTTAACATTTTTAAGCTATAGTTTTGTTTATTTCTAAGCTTTACATTACTCTGCAGAAACAGTAGCTGCCTTTTATTAGAACCAGAATTGTAGAGTTGGAAGGGACCACAGGGGTCATTTAATCTAACCCCCTGCAATGCACAAATCTCAGCTAAAGTATCCATGACAGTCCTGTCTCCTCATAAGTGTAGCGGCTGTATTAACTCAGAAAAGGAAAATAAGTGAAGAATTTCAGAACTAGAAATGAGCTTTTGGCAAACCTGAGTTAATTCAAAGCTGAATGAATGGTCCTTGAGAAGGTAACCATGCCAGTGCTTTGCATATTCTGGTAACCAATTTAGGTGGTCAGAATATATTTTTTTCCTTATCCCTATTGCCTCTCCCCATTTCAACCTGCCTGTGAGTTGAAATCTGTTAGGGAGACCTTTTTAATGGTTCCATCATTGAGAATAGTTTGGGACTTTATAACCCATCTGAGGGCCTTCTCAGTAGTAGCACCCCAGTTGCGGAAAGCACTTCTGCCGGACATTGGGCAGGTGCTGACATTGTTCAGGTTTAGGACTCAGCTAAAGACCTTCTTTAAATGTAGACTGACACCTAGGCTGTTTTTATTCTACTATTATTGTTTTGTTTTAACATTAATTATGTATTTATTGTTGTCCCCTGCCCCTAAGTCTTTGGGCAAAGAGGTAGGGATATAAATTTTAAAGATGAAGTTAAATGAGGTATTATTTTCTGAAAGCTGCTTTTCTATTTAAGTTTCATATCTGTCTTTACCTTTTCTAAGAGTGCACAAACTAAAACTCCAAAGTAGAATTCTCTGTATGAAAAGATTGCTTCAGGCATTATATATATTAAATTTAATAAACCCTGTTTGATATCCATAACTTTAGAATCAAAGCTGAATATATCATTCTAGACTAGATAATACTTTTAAAATAAGAAATATCAAGTTAATTGTTTAAACATGCCATTAGCTGCTCCCTGTCTATAACAGCCATTTTGTATAATGTGATTCCCAAAATATATTTTTAATTTAAAATCTTTGACATTCATTTTAAAATAGCATGACAGATCTGTAGTCCTCATTATATAGCAGGAGACAACACACCAGAGCTATTCTTCCTCCTAATAAAATTCATCTTAACATCTGATGACAGGCCATCATGATTAAATAGTTCTTAAGATACAGAGGCCAAATAATAGGTCAAAAATTATGAAACACTCATTAAAAGTGTGCTGAACACATTTTAGAAGGAATCGTGGGGTTTGCTGTATTTTTGTAAAAGAGAAAAATAAATGTTTTTTGAGGCAAGAACACGATTTTAATTTACATTCTCTGTCAAAGTGTCCTAACTATACTTTAATAACTAGGCTTGACTTGGCTGATTTTGGAAAAGAAATCCACCATATCTGATTCCACTTTAATTTTAACTAGAATACTCTGGACTTAATTGGTTGTAAATTACACCCTTAGAATACAATACATTGTTTGAAGGAAATACAGTACTAAGTACACAAAGCAGTGCATCATTAAAATGGAAACTCTAATTAAGAGGATCCAGTCTACTTGAAGCTGTGTGCAACAGTTTGTGGCTACATATAGGAATCTACAAACCTATTTACATCAAATGCACAAGCCAGTTTAATGGAACTCAGGTGTGCATTGTAATACAGACAAACATCTGCATCCATGTTGGTTATTACGTGGTAGGTTTTTTCTGCACATGGATTTCCCTTGCTAGTAGGCTGAGACAATTGACTGCAAATCTCTCCAATAAAAGCCCTATTAACTGCTTCATAAAGCAAATCATTTCTAATTACTCATCCCATTGATACTAAAAGTCAGTGTTTAGTTGTAGCTAGAATTGTGGGCCCGTCAGGTCACCTCTTCTCTTCCTCCTTCTCTCCTACCCACCCACACCTCAAAAGTCTATGTGGGCATTTTCTTATCCCAATTTTTCTCATGCTGTCTTTCAAGAAGAGCCAGCTGCTCTTTGCCACATTATTACTTCATAATAATATATAAATCAATAAAAGTGGAAGATTCTCTAACAAACCCACTATTATCCATTACAGTATGTGTGGTTTTTGGTGGCCCATAATACTCCAACCAAGTATCTCACTTTTTTTTGCACAGTGACATAAAATAATATACAATATGCAATTTTAGATAGATGATTTGAAGCATTTAGTACACAGCATACAAGTATGCACACAATTATTGACAAACAAAACAGTATCTGAATTACTTTCCCCCCATCAAAACCTTAATGTGGAAAGGCAGTAAAATCCTCATATTGTATTTCCATATGGTTTAACACAGCACTCCAAAGAAGCAACTAAACTTGCCTCTAGGTTAAGGGAAGCACTGACAAAGCATTGATTTCAGTGTATACTAAAAACTTGCTTATTCTCCCCAGTGTTTACTAGCCATTAATGCTACAGTTGCTGCAAATGAGATGCAAATATTAACATCTGCAACACTTGCTGTTGTTTTGTAGAGGAATTCACAACCGCTTCTGTTTAGAACTACCGACTTCACCGATGCTCTGCACCTTGCAAAGTTTTACCATGTCCCTAAGATTACTTTAACAGTGGATAGCTTTGGAAAATATCCTTCTCCAGCTCTTGCCAGCATTGTGGTAGGAGCTGGGGAAACAAAAGTCTGCAGTTCCTTATCCCTCAATAGCAAATCAGTGCAAAGGCATTCCTCTTCACCCAGGCCTTAAACCATCTATGCCCTTTTAAACTCTGTTGTGGGGTGTTATTGTTTTTATTTGTTACTATGTTATTCATGTTTGTGTTTTTCTATCATAAACTGCCCTGTATAGAATTATTTTTAAAAAAATAATTAAACTTGTCTGTCCTTGGGTCAATTCCCAATTATCTTATTTTAAAAGACATTCAAAATGTACCGTTCATAATGCAGCTAGTGCTAACCTTCTAACAAGGTGGTTGGTTTAATTTGTCAGAAACAAAATAGGACATGGCATGCAACTGCAAACAAAGGGTACGGGACAAGGCAATGTTCAACCCTTAGCTGGCCAAGTATGCACGTCACAGTAAACCATAGTTAAAATAAATGATGGTTCAGTGTGATAGAGCAGCATGCTACTCCTGTGCTGAGGAAACAAACCTCAGGTTACCTTGTCTGCATTGGCTTCCATTTATTCTTTATTTGGAGACAAAGGAACAATGAGACCAGTGTCATAGCTGCTTTTCTTGCTGTGTGGCAGCGGTAGGACCAGGTTTGAAGCAAATTGGGAAGTTTGGAGCAGCATGAAATAACACACTGCTCATTTATATTAAACATTAATTTATTTTAACTAGGGCCATTAATAAATTGTAGCTTATTTTATACTTCAAATTATGTATACTGATACAGCTAAGAAATATGTAAAGTTTGAAATCCTCATTTTGCTTTATTAATTCCGTTAGTAAATATGTCATTAGACACCATTGTATAGAAACGGATGTGTCTATTTTTCACTTTTGTCATAATACAGTATCTGTGTATTACAATGGAAACAGAACAGATTTCTAAATGGGATGAAAAAATAAAACAAGTTGCCTCTTGGGAAAGCCTCAAATGTTAATATCCATCATTTTTTCCCTGGCTAATACTTTGCTTTTGTGCAATGTGCAGGAAGAAGCACTTCATGGATTTCAAGTGAGTGATTATTTCAAATACATGGAAAACTTGGCTCTAACCTACAGACCAGTGCTGCTAAGAGACATGAAGAACATTAGAGTGCAGAACACATAGATCAAGCAAATGAACCTCTCATTTCAAATTTTAGTTACGTTCTTAAAAGGACACTGATTATTTGTTTTATATACTTCTCTATAAAAATGCATTCATTCTAAATGTACATACTGCCAAATCAATAATAAGGCTTTTCAGCATTCCGCTTTCACAAGACATCCTCTAAATTGGTTCATCTGAAAAATAATGTGTTTTTCTAGCCATGCACCATAGCCTTGTTTACACTTGGCTTCAGAACCTGCCCTTGAATTACTTAAATGTCCTGCTTATATTTTCTTGGAGTGATTTCCATGCTATTAAACTTTGCTTCTCTTCAACATCTACCTTAAATTTCTAAATTGCATACAAGTTTGCCAATAAAAGACAGTAATATGAATCCCCATTCTGAAAACCCAGCCTTACTTAATATTGATAAATAAAGGCAGAGCTACTTCCTTGAATGTAGCAAGATTGACCTTCGAAGGTCAGGAAACAGAACATCCTTGAAGATTCTCCATTCTGAGTATCTTAGTCTGCAGTAGAATTGTAGTTGTTTTTTTAACAATGTACACTAAAACCTTGATGTTTTGATGAGCTGAACAAATTAAACTTCCTGTTATGATAATATGCAGTATTTATTGTGTTTTTGTGACTTCTCTGTTATGCCAAAATGGAAAGCGAGGAGGTCAGTTTTGAGGTTGTGTGTATGAGCATTGCTAATAATATTTCCAGTTGATCTGGAGTTAAACCATCTGCAGGCTTCTCCAATGTATTACATGTTTGTGAGCATCTTATATGGTGCACACAAATTAGGTATATGTATTAATTAACAAGTTAAACATCAAAAAACTGAAATCACTGGGACTTTAAAAGTGCTTAAATTTGACTGAATTTTACCCAGACATGATCACAAAATTCTGAAATGTACATTCCCGTGTAATGGTGAACAGTTTTGGCTGGCATGCTGAATTTAAACTCAGTGATTTCTTTTGGAGTACAGACAACTCCCCATCTGCACGTGCTCTGTTTACATGTGACCACAAACACACGTGGTGCCAGGATCTCAGAAGTGGATTCTGGAAATGGGGGACACCCTGGAGAGGCGTCCTGGCTTGTCAGGAGACCCTTCCCAGAGCCTGAATAGGATGTCCTCTTAAGGCTCTGGGGAGGATCTCCTTGTGAGCATGAGTCCTTCCTGCCTAACAGCTGATTTTCAGGGTAGTACGGAAACAGCTGCTTCCCCATCTGTCAGCTGTGAAAGAGCAGAGCTGACCCTCTGCTTGCATGTGCGAGCCAGAGGAACAATGCATCTCTGACGCAGATGATGTGGACCAGAAGTGGAGTAATGTGCACATGAGTAGAGGAACAGTTTGGTTCTCCCACAGCTGATGAATAGGGAGGCTCTTACCCATGCATCAGCTGAGCTGATACAGGCAACACCCCATTTTAGGTGATTTCGCATATGGGGGGGTTGGGAACATAACCCCCGCATAAATGGGGAGTCACCTGTATATATGTTTATTAGTAAGGCCTATACTGTGGCCCTCCAAGTTATTAGGGCAGTTTATGTGCTTGTTGTCATATATTTGTATCATTGTTAACTTGCTTTGCTTATCAAGCTATAGCCTTGGGTATAGTTTGGTGTTTATATTAGGGGTGTACACCAATCACAAAATTGGGTTCAAAGCCAATTCATCGCATCCTTATTCCATCCAAAGCAACTGCCTGATTTGGTTTGAGTCGGAATCCCAATTCTAGAGTTTGTTGGTCATATATTTTGCAACAACTAATGCAAATATAAGTTTAACAAAATCTCTAAAGGCACCCCCCAAGATACATACATGATAGGAAAGCTACAAGTATTATATTGCCAAATGCAGTCTGATGGATGCTGGAGTTGGAAATCCTCACCTGCTCCATTTTCGCTTATTTATTCCAAGTTAAAAATGGTGTGCCCAAGAACAGCTTCACTTTTTTTCAAAAAAAATATTGCCACAAGGCTGAAGTAAATTATGCAATGGCACAGTCCTAGTGAGAAATGCAAGATGACTTCATTGGGTACAGGAGGAGAAAGACAGAAAATGAGAGGCAGAAGCCTCATCCATTTCCAATTGTCACATTCCACCATGTTTTATTCATGCCATGCTCCTTTTTGAACAGAGAAGGACACACAGAGGGCTAAAGCCAATGGTGCTCTTTTTCATGTTTTAACGGGCAATTTGTTGCCCCTTTGAGCTGCAAAGATGGGCTTTGTAACAAAACTGTGGGTAGTGCCAGCTGAAATTGCAGGCGCCAGGGTGGGCCTTACTAAACCTTATTGGGGTTCAATACTTGGGCGGGGGAGGGGGGTTGGGGCTATAGGGTCCAGCATAGTCTGACAAGCAAAATGAATAATGCAAAGCATGCATAATATTTTATCTTGTACTTACTTGTGGGTCTTACATAGTAAGGGTACTTACTATGTGGGTCTCAAAAGCCATATGTTTTTGGAACATATTCTGGCAAATTTGGATTTTATCCATTGCTGAGTACACACAGCCAAGCTTGTAAAGTTACAGGAGGAAATTGCATTGTTTTATCCAGTATGCATTTCAAAAGTTTCAAGATGAAAATGAGAGCCTACCTTTTATAAAATGCAGCTGAGGAATGCTCTCTTTGGATGTTTAAGCTGATCAGATAATGCAGCACAGATTGTTCAGTATAAGCTAATGTCAACCCCCTCCAAAGAAATAAATAAAGTATAACATGTTGCTAAATATAAATATAAATACAAATACAGTCATACCTCGGGTTACAGACGCTTCAGGTTGTGTGTTTTCGGGTTGCGCACCACTCCGAACCCGGAAGTACCGGAACGGGTTACTTCCAGGTTTCGGTGCTCGAACTTAACGCATGCGCAGAAGCGCCGATTCGCGACGTGCGCAGACGCAGCGCTGCGGGTTGTGAACGTGCCTCCCTCACGGATCACGTTCGCAACCCAAGCATCCACTGAAGTGGCTTTTTAAAAGCATAATTTATAATAGAAAGTCTGGGAATAGAAGAAGATACTGTGGCCTTTCTGAGTCCATCTAGCTATGTATCTGAAAAGAACCTTTTCTCTCTCCCCCAATCTCTGTTTCTAATGTATAAATATTCATGTTGACAGCTTCTATTCTGATATGAATAGCCTGTTCCAAGTACAGTGTCTGTAAAATAACAGGAAGAGAACTAGAGGGCACAAATTGCAAGCATTGTAATTTCCACTAAAGCAAGCACTCTTAGTTTTTTGAGCTAAATCGTAAATTGCGGTGCAAGAACATAAGGATTGTTTATATGTGTAGCAAATAGCAATGACTGCTGAAATGAAAAATGATATCAAAGACTTTCTGTTTGTTGAGATATATATATATATATATATATATATATATATATGCACACTTATTTCAACACAGAGAAAATCTTTGCCATCATTTCTCATTTTGGCAGTCATTGCTACTTGGATTGAAGGGCTGAACAGGCAGATGATATCAGACACCCACCTTTGACGTCCTATATATTTCAGCTGTGTGCTCCTGTAGTTTCTGATGCAGTAGCACCATGGGGAGTAATAACTGCAATCTAACTTCATGCTGCAGCAAACACTTGAGCCAAGGAAAACCTTTTTAAAGAAAGCAATGTCACAAATGGATATTTTGGTCCCGAATGAAAAGCATTTGTAGCAGTAGCACTTACTAGTATTTAGCACCCAAAACCAAAAGGGCTCTGACAGTTGCATTTGTATTAAGCTCCATCGCCACACTGTTTTCATTCAGGTCCTGCTTGTCGGTTTCCCACAGTCATCTGGCAGGTCAGTATAACAACCAGAGGGGGACTAGATGAGCCTTTGGCCTGATGCAGCTGGCCTCTCCTTATGTTCTCATTTGTTCAGTCTGCAATCCGGATTAGTTTTGTTCTTTTCGTAATTGCAGACTTGGTTTCACCTTCCATGTTTCTTCCTTTTACTGTGCTACATCCTACATAAAGAACTGCAGAGTAGCGCCAGTTGCTTTCAAATGCTGGTACTCCCCTTAGGTCTTTCAGGCAAGCGGGTTATAGTGCAATCCTCTCCAGGTTTACTTGGAGTACCAGGGACTGTGCGCTTGTGTGTCCTGCGGTTTTAAAAGCCGTTTAATATCGATGCAAGGTAATTTTTACATTTAGGCCTCAACCTTGCAGTTGGTCATTAAATATGGAGCTAAGGAGCCAAGGAATTTCTGACTGAAATCTCTCAGGTTCTAGAAATCGTTTGAGTGGCTCTAACATAAGCTCTTGGCTTATGCATCTGTTCATTGCTGGTTCATGGGTTTGTGTAATATCTGGGTCAAATCAAATCCATATCACAGGGTGATGCTTATGAGATATCTTGACTAGTGCCTCTTTAATAGCTAATGTGTAGCTGGAAGCGATGCTCAAGAGACTTTGTCTTCCTTAATAGCGCTTCTGTTTAGTGTCTGTCCTTTTCTGCCAGAGCATGATCTGCATAGTGAACCTGGTAGGGGAGCCCACAGTAAGAGAAAGGGGGGGAGCACCTGGCCCCAAAGTAACAAGTGAGATAAGCAGCTGTATGAGCAGAGTGTAAGCACCACCCATTTATTTTTTAAATTTTATTTTATTAAAGCCTCTGCTAAAACTTAAGGCACGGCAAAGGTATTGTGTGACATGAACTGAATCCTTGTGAATTAAAGACTAGAAAAATTTACAAGCTGAATCCTTTTTGGGGGGAGACTGTAGAACAGGGATACCCAACACGGTGGCCTTCAAATGCTGTTAGACTCCAGCTCTTATCAGCCCTAACCAGCCTGGCCATTGGAGTGGCATGATGGGAGTCCAACAACATCTGGTGCCGATGTCCAACAGCATCTATGCTGCAGAAGATTGGTTTTCAGCTCTACTCTAGTGACACAGCCTTGAAGAGCTGCAAAAAACTACATCCAGGCTTTTTAAGCTGACATCTTTCCTAGTCTGCATCTGAACTGGAATTGTTTGTAAGATGCTGTCTTTTTATTTTTTAAAAACACTTGTTTGCTGCTCTGGGCTCCTTTGCAAGGAAGAGCAGGGTATAAATCTAAATTGGAAGTACTCCAAGCAGTTCTCATTGAAAGGATGGAGGCCCAAAGTCTGGTTTCTTACCCCAGCTGTAACGTTTACACAAGACATACAGTAATGAGGGGCGAAAGCAGGAGGGACAAGTTTGCAGGGAAGTGGGACCTCTTCTTGCATTATTTGGCAGGGCAGGGAGGTTTATTACAAATTGGTTAGATTTATTACCAAGACACCTGGATAGCTAAGCAATCCATGATTGTCATTGCCAAGTATGCATTTCATGTGCTTCTGAATTTTCTCTTTTAACAGGTTGCACACTGTTAAAAAAAATGTATCATATATTTTGAATGATGTTGGGATGTCATGGATTTATGAATAAAAACAATAATAAACCGTTAATCATGTCTCTTCCTTGCCGAGATGAAGATATGTTTGGGCCATTTGTGTTTGTAGAGACCTCTGACTTTGGTGTGACTTCATTATAGCCTATTGTCCAAAGGTGAAGTCACACCCCTTGCCTTACCCATTTTACATCTGGCAGCCCCCTCCAGCAGCACAACTCTGCA